ACTAAAAACGGAGTTAAGTGAATTCAAGGAGGAGGCTTTTAAGAATGAAATTAACAAACGTGATAATGCATATATTAAATTATGCACTTGTACCGATGAACAGATTAAGACACATACTCAGGATTCCGTGATAAATGTAGAAAGTTCTGCTAAATCTAAGGCACCAACGTCGAATCCTATAATTAAGGCTGTAGATAATAATAAAGGGGGGAACGTTGGGGGGGATGTTACGCATGGAAATGTTAACAGTGGCGCAAATAATTCTAACAAAAGTCAAGTTACTCCCGATGGTGCTGTTTCTGTTGATGGTCTGAAACATCCTTCCGATACTATAGAAGATGATCCACGTACTGATAAAGGTTCCGAGAAAGGGGATACTAGAGTTGCGGAAACTGTTAAGGGTGTTGAGGAGGGGATGCCGTCCAAAGTAACTAACCATGAACATGGTATAGTTACAACGAATGATCCTAGTGCAAGTGGCTCTTCCGCTTCCAGTTCAAGCACCATTGGTACTGGTGATGCCTCCGATTCTGTGGACACTGGCATTGGTTCCACTACTGTCGTCACTGCGGATGGACATGCAGAAGATGGTAAGGGTGGTGACACTTTCCCAAATGGGGATAGTACAGGGATCCCTATGGAGACTCTTCACCCAGGTGGCGTTGGTGGAATGGGTGGAAATATGCATGATTCTGCTACATTCAGCTCCTTCCCGGATAACAATTCACCCAAACTGACACACGGATCTCCAAACCCACATCAAGCGAGCGGTACCTCCGGTTCGTACAATCCGGATGATAACAGCAGTACCACTGTTGACCTAGCTACTGTTTCGGAAGATGTTTTTAGACCAGATTATGGTAACCAACGTCGTAATACTATAATCAGGGATCCTGAGCAACCGGATGCTCTCAACCCAACTCGTGAAGCGGATTATTTGGGTTCCCTTGCTGGCGATACTGGTGATACTGGTGCTGCTGATGAAGCCGGTGCTTCTGGCTACGTTTCCCTTGCTCCCGCTGGAAAAGATGCTGAAGTTGATAATGGCACTGATACGAAACCTGGGGATGATAGTGAAGAAGTTAATACACGGCATATTACAGAGGTTCCAGGTACACAAAGCACAGATGATAGCCGACAGGGCCCACCTAAGGCACAAATTGACATAGAGAAAGATGCAGAAGCAGAAGGAGCTAGTGCTACACCTCCTAGACAAGCTGTTGGTATTTCTCCTAGTGTATATGGTGTTTCTGCACCTAACAGTAGACACAGTGAGGATGGAACTTTGCTAAGTACAACTGAAAGTTTAGAATCAAACGGAAATGTATATAGAACTACGAGTGAACCAACCCAGATTTTTAACAATAAAAATGGAAGTATCGAAATGGATTTGCAGAATCATGATTTTGAAAATGATGATATGTGGAATGAAGAAATCAATTCTGATCAAACTATAGATATAGCAGAACATCACGAGGATAGTAACAAAAATGATAATACAGAAATGAGAAAGCATATAAGTAAAGGTGCTTTTACGAAAGATCCAAGTAGCAACCACTTGAATAGCCTTAATAATTTGAGTAATGTTAAATTGGATATAAAAGGATACGAACATAGAGATGTCAATGCAACAAGGCAAGAAATTATATATCTGTCTGAAGTACACAAGTGCGATAATAGTATTTCTCTAATGTACTGTAAATATATTGAAGACAGGATGTCATCGAGCAGCTGTTCTACAGAGAAAAGTAAAAATTTGTGTTGTTCAATATCGGATTTCTGTTTGAAATATTTTGTGGTTGCTTCTGATGAGTATTTTAATTGCATGAAAAGGGAATTTGAAGATCCATCATACAAGTGCTTTACAAAAGGGAGCTTTAGAGGTATGTACAAAATGATGATAAATAGACGAGCATGTTATGTAAATAAGAAGAAATTGAGTTTACGAATTTTACAAAAATTTTTGTAACCAATATACTCTTTTTGTAGGCCAGGCTTATTTTGCCGCGGGCGGTGTGTTGCTGATACTGTTGTTGTTAATTACTTCACGGAATCTGATGGACAATGAGTAAACAAAAAATAAAATAAAAATGAGAATAAAAATTAGAGTAAAGACTAGAATAACAAATAGAATGAACAATAAAATAACAATTAGAAGGAAAAATGAAATAAAATAATATAAAATAAGAAATACTGTTAATGCACCATTAATTTTAAGAATTCCATTTTTGAAGTATCAAAGAGGTTGTAAATGTGTGGCCATTATGCCCATGCATATATGCACATATACATATATGTATATATAACAAATGCACGCTTTCCCCATTGTACAGCCTTGAAGAAGCTACATTTGACGAGTTTGAAGAATACTGTGATAGTAGTCACAAGATCCCTATGATGTCTAACGGTAATTCACATTTCAGGAGAGAAATTTCATTGTAAAGGGAAATATTATATCATTCTGCTTTAATCTTTTTATTTTTTTTTCAGATATTGAACATATGCAACAATCAAGCGCCCTGGACTATTCATGATGATACTTTGGTACATAACATTAATTCTGATTAATGCTGATACAATTCAGTCGTTCGGCTTGATTCAATAAATGAGAAAATATATCACACATATGCATGAATGATATACAAACACTATGATAATTATTTGTATTGTCTATATTCATTTAAGTATCTAAATTACAATTAATTGTTTGTATTTGCAACAAGTGTGTTTGCTTTTATTAGCTTGTAGGATATTTAATCCTTTTGTCAATAGAGCAAAAGTTCGTTTTAGTGTAATTTACAATTTTTTTTTTCCTTTCATCTGTTTATTTTTTTTTTTGAATATTAACCAACAAACAGAATACAATATTCATAATTTGAATGTATATTGAAGGATAACAAAAAAAAAAATAAAAGGGAGACATGGGACATTACACATTTGGCGTAACAATAATCTTTACTAATGCATGTGATAAGGAGCACATTGCCGTGGAAAATACATTATCATACTGAAGGAAGGTTTTATCTTTAGTTTCCTGTTAAATAGAGTATAAGTACATTTTTCTTATGTATATTTTGAACATTCTTTATAATTGGTGTCTGTTATCAATTTGTAAGAGCTTTTTCTTACACCTTCGTGCTTCCGCACACATGTAGTTATTCGTCTATTCGTAGGCTATGTATTAATAGAGATTCCTTAATGTTGTTCAATAATAGCATTATAGACAGACGGTCATTTTTAATTTACACATAACGGTATCGGGGTCTCTGTCGAAGTAGAAATGACGCCATAATGATGTAATAGAAACCGGGAAATTATTTTTATCATATTGTACTTTGTCCTGATCCAGTTTCACATTTATTTGCATCAGAAGTGCAGTTTATGAATGTTATATTACAACATGTTATATGGTGGCGAAACTCCTGAGGGACATGTCGAATAATAAATATCCGAAACAATAGAAGAATTCTTAAGAATATTAAAGGTGCATACGAAGTAATTATTGGCAAAATGTGGGGCTCGTTGTTCGTATTTGTGTTGTTTGGATCAGTACATTAGAGCAGCAAATAGAAATTCGGCGCGTCAGTCGAAATTATAGGGGGTCATGGCAAAATGTTAGGTGCACACTGAAATGAATAACAAGAATAGAACAGTAGCCAGCAAGGATGAGTTAATTTAATTTCCTTACCGCAACGTTTACTCCTATAAAATTCCTTTTTATAATATAGTTATGCAGAATTATATTCATAATAAGATGGGGGGTTACCAGGTTTCTGCTATAAGTGAAGTCCAAGAATAATTTGTAGTTATATATATCAATCTATAAATGTGCAAAATGTTTTTTCTTTTCTTTTTTTTTTTTTCTTGTTTAAAAAGAATTACTATTTTTGTTTACCATAAAAATAGCAGAGATTATTTTCTTTTTCCCTTAATCATATTAATGCACGTCTTTTTTACATTCGTGTTTATTGTTTTCACGATGTACTATGTCGGAAGATTTTCACATTAGTTACTTAAACCATTTTCGTTTTTGAAAGTTTCCCTTGCTTATATTTATAAAACGATGTACCTTAAATTGAAAGATATATATTGTTATTAAAATATTATTTTATGGAAATTGTCCTTTTATGGACTTGTCCTGAATCTAACATTTGTTAAATAATTAGAAACAACCTTTTCAACTAATTAGAACGCACAGTTCTTGGAGACAAAATTGAATGAAAAAAAAAAAGAAAAGAACATGTATAATAATAATACACATACAATAATTTTACATTAATCTTTTCAATTTTTCATATTTCTTTAAGAATTAGAAAAAATGAATAATTCCATATTTCATAAATGTATATGATTAAAATTAAGTATTAACTTTGTCTATGCTAAAACACGAAATAAGTTGTACTTAATTATATGTTAGTAAAGAAAATGCAAAAGAACATAACAGACATAGCTGAGTCCAGTTAAGAATACAACCAAATAGAATTCAACGTATGAATTCTTCTATTAAGAAATATGATTTTTAATATGTATGGAATTATCAATTTTTAAATTAAGAAAAAAAGAAAAAGAGAATACCATAAAATATAAATTTAAAAGTAGAAAACATAAATAAGCGAAAACAATGCTAAATGTAATGTCAAAAATTTTCTGTATAGTTTTACACTCGCGATTCCGTTTTTATAAGAACAACGCAAAAAGAAAAGACAAATTGGGAGATAATAAGAACAAAGTGAAATATGAAATAGAGCAATGTAGTGTCCTTATTTAAGGTAGAAATATTTATTACAATCAACATTTTATCAGAATTAACTTAAAATTTTGTTATATAAAAACTGTGAGATATGCTGATGCATTTTATGAAAAAGGTGATACATTCGCTTTTATATGTTTAACAAAGCCTACGGAGTAAAATTAAATTTAAATAATGTTCGCTGTAAAAGAGTAATAAATACTGTCCTATATCTATTGCCTTCTTAACTGTAATTAAATAACATTATCATTCTTAGTTTAAAGATTAAGTAAGCAAACAAACAAATATCCCGATTTTTCCGTTCTAATCCTTTATTTATATAAAAGAGAATCAAATGAAACTCCGCAAAAAAAAAAAACAAACAAAAAAAAAGATATGTAAACCATTATTGTTAACGTATCATAATGAAAATTACGTAAGAATGTTTTATTTTCATTCTTCTGTAAAAAAAGTTACTTTATGCGTTAATATAATATAAAAAATTCCATCAATTCTTATAACAGTTTTTACTATATAGTTTTTTACTATATATGTTGTATTATTGAATATACAAATAATTAGTTGCATATGTAAATAATTACATCAATCAGTAGTGGTTATTATGCTTCCCCGTTTATCAAAGACAATACAGTTTAGGGTATATTTTTGAAATTTAATAATTTATAGAATGTTGTACAAAATAATTTTGAGGTGGCTTTTTGCAATTTCCTACCTTGTATGGTAATGACAACAGAATAAATCTTTTGCCACTGAATGGGGCACGTCAATACATAGATATATTTATACATAAATTTACATATATATGTCAAAACTAGTTTAAGAAATGCATGTATGTATTTCAAAAGAGGAGACTGAAATGAAAGAATGCAAAATCTCATTTTCTTCATTATTTCCTTTTGGCATCCTTTTATATATAACAGCTTAGGCATTAACCAGTTCGTTGTATCTTGGGTGGTTTCACTTCAACCAAATTGTTCTCGAAAATTATCAGATAATAATTTATCTGAGAACATTGTAGACATATTAAACATAATAGATTATAACAATAATGATGAAGGTAAGATTGAGCAATTAGAGAATAACAACTATGAAACTAGATTGAAAAATGAGTGGAGACAACTGGAAAACGATGAAAATATGGATTGGCTCACCATTACACTAAAAACATATGAATCCTTCGTTGGAAAAAAGAGTGGAGCAACACCTGATAGTGAAACCAAGCATAAAAGATGGTGTAATATTGTAGAAGCGTTGGATTATTTCCGTAAAGCTAAAAATGAGGAACATCGAGCAGGATTGGAATTTTTTTTAGATGCATTAAATGATAAAATACGGGAAGGAGATATTGAAGATTTAAATTTGGAGGTGGAGAAAGCTTGGAACCATTTAAAAATGGCAAAAGTTAAAGAAGATAATGAATTTCGAATTTATCAATTAGTTACATGGAAATATTGGAAACAAGCAGAAAATGTCGAATCCGCTAGAAATAAGAGTCAATAAACATTATGGTATGTTCAAAAGTAAAATGTACAAAAGTGTTAAATATGTGTAACAACTTTTTTTGTTACAATTTGACAAATGTGTGAACGAGAACTATATAGAAATGAAGTCCCAAATTGATGATAAAAAATTCGGATAAAGAATAAGTGTACAGTATGCAATTAATATATCATACCATAACAATGTTATTTTTGTTCCTATCTGAGTATAAATTTAAACATAGAGAATAATATCTTTTTGTTTTTGTTCTTGTTTTTATTTATTTTTTTTTTTAAGGAATCTACATTACCCAATGTAAAATTATTATTGTGCAGTGTACACTTCACTGTCACATTACTACATTTTCTCGTAAAAATAGACGCACTTTCATAAGAATTCTTTATTCAAGGCTCTTTTTATATAAAATATAAGCAACTTTTTTAACAAGTGTATATTCTTTCTTGCGGCGTTCACCCTTTTTTTAATCCATAGTTTTAAAAAATGTGGAAAAAACAAATAAGAGAAAAAAGAAATATTTGATCCACTAATATAAAAATAAAGATAAAGGTGTGTATATTTTGCGCTTGCATCATATATTTTGTCGTAGCTTCATGTTGTTCGAAATCGCTAACTAGTTGTATATATTTCTAATGCGGGACTTAAACTAACAAAACGTTCACAGTTGCCGTACATATATTAGGGTATTTATAAAGCCAGTACACATAATTAGTAGGGTCAAATAATGCTAAAAATAAATAGTGCATTGTGGTTCTAATTTCTATCGAAATAGTAAGAAAAATGGTAAAATCGAAATAGGAGAAGAGAAATATAAGGAAATAAAGAATCGTGTAGAGATGTATAAATAAGTGAAAAATGAGAAATAGTGTTCATTATCTAGAAGGAGGAATGCAAAATGAAAAACGGGCGTAAATGAGTTAATATTAAGTATTCACTCAAATGTACGTGATCGTTTCAGTTTTTCTAATTGTGTGCGTATATATTTTAATCTAAGGAAAAAATATAACATTATATAATCGTATATGATATCTAAAATTGCAGATATCAAGGGAAGAAAAGCACGATTTTTTAAACGTGTTATTGTACAATATATATTTCAGCATACACATAATTTCATAAACTGTACCTGAAATTTGCTTTATTCTGCAAGGGTGGCACATAGTATATATATGTTTAAGAATAACAATGTGGATGTACGTCTAATGATCTAATGTCTTATGGGATTAATCGCGTTGTCTATAATTTATATCAACTATGTTTCAGGAATGAGATAGAATAAACTGCTAAAACATGATAATTGAATGCCGTGATTGTAGCCTCGAAAATAGGATACAATGAGGCGTTGATGAATATGTTTTTTGTTGCTGTTGTGGTGTTACATCAGGAAGTTATAAAATTATATGAAAATAACGGACGGAAAAGTCATTAAGTGCATCTGTTTTTCGAATTATATAATAATAGCGATATATTCATTTAAGCAAACGTAGCAATCATAATGAATATATGTCATAATTAGCAACTTAACGAAAACAGAAAAGGCAGAAAAGAGCATACCCCCCATTATTTTACTGAAAAGTAAATCGCAGAAAAAAAAAAAAAAAAATATTCAAAGGAAATAGTCATTTTTAATATAACTATATATTATTTGGTATGTCCATGAATATATCAATACGCTGGATTAATTGTATGATAATACAGCAATAACTTATAACCTATATAAATTGAAAAAATTCCATTTTTATCTTGTGCATAAGAATCCATAAAACCATGTGCTCCTATATTTTGTGTCCGTACACATTAAGCATCAGCAAATTCTAAGTTGCCATCTTTTTACATTTTCTATTTTGAACAATTTAAAAACATAACAAAGGTTTCCTGAGGATTTAAAACTATACTAATATGTTGTTTTTAACGTGTGCAATTTACACATAATAAGGAGCATATAACAGTTAAGCAGCATAAAGTTTAAAGATACAAATTCAGTATGAAAACATTTTTTCCTAATTGTACTTTGTAGAAAGATTTTTTGGTTTTTTTTTATTATTCTTTGCAGCCATAATATTTAGCGATAAATAAAATATATATTTTCCAATTAGGGAAAAATAACAATTTGTATATTTGTAGTGTAAAAAAAATATATGATACCACTTTATGTACTTTAGTTTTTTTTAAAATATATAAAAATAGTGCAGGCTTATATATTTGAGATTAGGAATTTAAAATATTAGTGTTTTTAAAAAATGTGTGCGCAATTAAAAGGAGCAAGGAATGCAAAAAAAAAAAAAAAAAAAAAAAAAAAAAAAAAAAAAAAAAAAAAAAAAAAAAAAAGAAATACATAATATGTATAAAATAATAACACAATATATTATAATTTATATAATTGGAAAAAAAAATTTAATTGCTATTTTACTTTTTCTTATAATTGAACAATTAATGTTTATAATTAAAATCATTTATTAAATTACGACAAACAATACTATAAAAAAAAAATCGTTTTAAATATAAATTAAGAAGAATTATGACGTGTGAGCTGTGGAAAATACTTAGAATTTTCATAATTATGAAGGTTGCTGTTCTTTATGAATGCAAAATTTATTTACATTTTATATAATATTTCATTTCTTAAAATGAGGCGTTGAAAGTTTTGTAGAACTGTCGATATTTATTATTTTTCCCTTTTATTTTCCCACATAATATATATAGTGAGTAAAATACTTTAAGAATTAATCCTTACAGAAGAATATTATTCTCCTTTTTATATTCTAAATATTTAACGAATAATAATGAATATGCTATTCTTAATTTTATGGTGATTTCATATTTTTGTGTGAATTTGCATGAAATATTTATTTAATGTGATTCTGTTATTTTCCTTTTTCATTTTTCTTTATTTTAATTTTATAAAATATGTATGGTAAAATATAAATTTAATTTATCATGTTTTAGTTTTAGCGGGGAAAAATTTATAATATACTTTTAAAACAAATTAGAGCAGGCATAGGAAGGAAGTTTTTTTTTGCATTGATAATATAAAAGAACACATTTCTCATTCTTGATAATAATAATATATGGTACATCTAAAGTATTAATTGATGAAAAAAATATTCGGGCTCCCTTTAATTAGAATTCTTACACTTAGCGCCTTAGTATGGGTAACTCCCAATTGTTATGGGGTAACAATAATTAATTATAGATTAATACATTAGATACCTTTCTGTTTAGTTTACACTTCTATTTTAAGAATATCTTAGTTTTTATGAATGCAAAAGTAACGAAAAACAAAAGCATATCATTCTAAGACTTTTATGTACGTTTTGTCTTTGTCTTTCGTGTAGTCGACTAATTTGTGGGAATCATGGGAACACCGAATAAACTTAAATAAAAAGTTAGATGTAAAGAATAGCAGGTTATTATGTGGAAGACACGAACATTTTGCACATAGGAGAAATGTAAATTTAAAAGGAAAAAAATATAATGTGTTAGAAGATGAGGATCATTATGGAAGAGGATCCCTAAATAAAACGAAGAATAAACCTAATGCTCGGGATGAAATGCAAGATATGAGATTTCGTGACAAACCTGATAAATCAGGATCCAGAAAGAAACGTGGTGGACATTTTGAGAAAAGAAAGGATAAGTTCATAAATGAAAAAATTAATACAGGATCCAATGCTAGTACTTATGGTAATGAAGATGATAATTTTCTTAAGGAACCAGAGGATGGTTACTATAGAAGAGAAGAAAATGTTGATTATTGGGAAGGACTCATCGAATGTAAGGAACTACCAAGTAATGATGTTCATGAAATACAGAAGAAGCCAGAAGTAAGTAATAAAGATTTAGTAAACCTTCCCGTACCACCAAATAACAAGGATCTTCAAGTGGCGGAACACTACGATTATTACCGTATAAAGAAATGCATATGTGATAAATTCATAAATCTACTTAGCAAAATAGATATACAATTTCAAATAGAGTTTATGCGTTACATAAAAGCAAAGAATTATTCTGCAGAACGTGAATTTTTGGAGCTTCGAAGTAGAAAAGACAAGATTTTTTATTATTTTAGGAGGCACAAGGTATTTTTGCCACTTATAATACAAGCTAATATTTTTTCTGTATTTTTACTGTTGTTCCTTTCGACAAGTTTTGCATCCGTTGCAATGGCCATAATGTCTATTATTACAGGTCAATTCCTGTTATATATGAGCTACTATTATTTAAAAGGATATATTAGGATAAGAAAAATGCACAGAACTTTCAAAAAACATGGTGTTATAATGGGAAAATGAAGAAAACGTATACCAAAAGTATATTATTTGTTAACTCCCTGAAAAGAATAATTTAAATACATTAAAGATTAATGTATTCATGTATAGTAAAAATAAATATACAGCATTGTTAATATACAGGTAAGGAATATTACTTGTTGACGTTTTATTAGAAGAAATTGTTTTGTATTTCTTATTAAGCCATTCATAATAATGATTATTTACATAAATTGTTAATTTTCTATAACTATGCAAAAGAAAACAATTTGGGAGGTTCCCTTTTTTTTTGTTTATATTATATAAAAAATGGTATTTATTCACATATAACCAATTAATGCGTGCATTATTCAATGATACAACTGTGTTAATTGTGTTTATCGTGTAATGTACACGTTATTAATTTTTTAAGTATGCGAAGGTTACTTCAATCATTAGTTAAAATTCTATATAATATATTTTACAAGTATATTTGATTTTTATTTAATATTTTTGGTGGCATGAAAGATATTTATATCATTTTTTTATTGTTGTTTTTATTTATATTTTTTATTTCATTCATTTTAATCATGTTAAATTTTTATAATACCTTATTTTAGGATTCTACATAATATCTAACTATATTTTTAAAAACAATATTTTTTTTCATAGTTTCATTATAATACCTATTCACATTTGTTCCATAAATGTATAATTATCCATATACAATTTTTGAAAGTATATATATATATATATATCAACTCTTTGACTTTTCGTATCGCATTTACAAATACACACACATACACACGCTGATACACATTCATTATTCCTTTCTGTTTATGGTTTGTTTTTTCTTACTCATTTTGATATACGCTTAAGATTCAGAGCATGTGTATTCTTCCATTTTTATGCTTTTGATTTGATCACTATATGGGCGCATTAACTTATTTAAGAACTATATAAAAGTTTTCATAAAATATTATTTTCACTTGCTGTGAAGCACTATGTCTATAATTTTAGGAACAGTATTTCATTCCTTATATCCTTCTCCTGTACTGCAAGTTCCCATTTTTCTGTTCTGCTTCGCACAACATAACTATTAGAAAGGGGAATATTGCATACTACAAGCAGGAAAGTTAGTGCTTTATAAAATATATTTACATTATAGATCAATGCACCATTTAAGAAGGAACCATTTGTATTTGTACTAATATATGAAGGTATTTAAGGAAAAATGCATGTTTTTGTGTTAGGTGAAGAAACAAATAAAAGAATAATCACCAAATGGAACACCAAATTGTGTAGGAATGCAAAAGAATCTGCAACTGAGGTCAATAGTAAAATTTGTAGATGTTGTTCGTGCAAGCAGGATGCTTTGCATAGCATAAGACGGAAAAACAGTGCTTATACAGATGTGACACAATTATATTACTTGCCAAATTGAAATTCATAATAACCATATTTCTTATAGACCCATTTATCGATACGCTACATGTTAAGGAATTCTCTGTAAACAAAGGTTTATGAGAAATGGAGAATCTGCTGGAAACATGGATATGGTTTATACTTTGGATTAGTAGTGCTACATTTTAAAAACTGCATACTACTGCATTCATGCAAATATTCTGATCATTCATATAACATTTGATTTTACAGTTGAATTAACTTTAATATGAAAAGGGAACGAAAACGATACAATATTGTTAAACATTTAACGAATATCGTGTTCTAAAAATAAATCCTTTGTTTTGATTTGTTCATATAATTAATTTGTATTGTTCCGAATTGCATTCATTATTTTTCGCTGCGTAGATATTTATTCTTTTTAAATAATTTTACTGTTGAAATATTCCTTGTAAACATGTTTGTTCCTTAGCTTTTCATATAGCGTATACATATGAAATAAATATGTGTTTTTTCTTTTTCCCTTTTTTATTTTATATTTTTTTCTGAATGCTATATATATAACAGCGTTTTGTTGACAAAACGGTTCCTTATGTTCTGCTCCTTATATTTGATGAATGTATCAAATATTCGTCTTTTAAAGGTAAGACTGTTTGGAATCATCACGGGTTCAAAAAAGAAACAAAAAAGGTTCGTGTGTACGAAGATATTATTTTACAGTATTCACTGCAACGAAAAAATCATGTAAATGCCATTAGGAAAAAATGAAAAGTGAAAAAGTGAAGCATTCCTAGTTAGAACAAATTAAACCATGGGGAAATTCCCCAAGTTCTCAGAAATAGCTATATACCACGGGTAAATATCAAGTAATCAAAATGAATTATACACGCGGCAGAATCAATTAACAATTCATTTTATACACCTTTTGAAGCTTCTTACGTAATCCATGAAAAGGGGCTTACGTATACCGTGAGATTTCAGGTCATATTTTAAGGTCTTTACAAGGATGTAAAAGAATATTATAAAGCTCAAGGCGCAAAATACAAAGATCACCCAATGCAAACTTACATCCGCGTAAAATCCAAGTGAGGATAATGCGATTAGAAATGGTAAGGCAAGTATGCTGCCATATTTCTTAATTTTCAAGAGCCTATATTGAGTTTTGGTAATATTGGGATTGTGTTCACATTCATCTATGTAATTGAACGTTCTAAATAGTGTTTTTTCTATTCGAGAGTCTATCATTCGGACAGGGTTAAGTACGACTCCTTCCGTTTCTGTAATGCCCTCCATACTGTCTACACCAGAGGGCACATCAGCGCTGCACTTTTTCTTGATAAAATAACTAGTTCCCCTTAAGGCCTTTTGACGGTCCTTCATTTTACGCACTTCTGCGTTCATTATTTTCTGTTCCTTGAATTTTTCCAACATCATATTAATTTTTTCAAGTTCTTTATCTATCCTTTTTTTATATTCCATTACATTGGTTATTTCTGCATTCAACGCTTTCACCTTCATTGTTTTAATGTCCTTTAAAACCTGTCCAAAATTCTTTTTATGATCTGCTGCATTAATCATTTTGACGTTCGTTATTTCCTGTTGTGGAGGATTGAGCTGTTCCTGATTCGTTTCTACTTCTTGTTCATCTTGCACACATTTTAATAGTTGTTCTTTCTTATTTTCTTCTAATATATGATTATCATCAGAATAGCTTAAATTTTTTCCATCCTGTAATGAAATTCCTTTGTACTCATATTTTGACGGGGATTCTGGATGCACAGCTACAACATCACTTGGGTATTCTGGGGTTCGCTCCTTATTTTTTGGGAAGTTGGATTCTAACTCACGTACTGGTTCAGGTTGCGCATCGACGTCTGCTAATAATAGTCTACTAGTTCTTAGTTGGAATATCGCAGCCACGATATGCATCCTTTTTAGGTTTATGCTACATGAACTCTAAAAAGAAAGAAGAAATTATAATGACTGCATGATTATAAATGAAAGGAAATGTGCTAATGTCCGCATCACTATCCAGAATTTTATGCTTTTTTAAAAAAAATTAAAATGAACATGATGTTGAAATGTTATTATACATATAATACATACCAAGCTATTATCATATTGATACACTAATGGCAAAATGAATAACATAAAAATTTTCGACAAAATGGCTAACATGATATATGTTGTTTTGTTTAAACTTTGTTCCGTTTAAAATTGTATACAGTCCTCTTTTTTTAGCGTCCAATGTTTAGTCTGGTAGATGAAGAGAATTTTTCCTTATTTAAACATCTACAATTGTGATACTTCAAAATTTTTCCTACATTATGTTCTATAGTACACACCATTTTCAATGTTAATGGAATGCAGCAGAGTAATTATGTATGTGCAGTACTACACCATGCAGGGTAATATATGGGGTGTTCCATTACTACAACATGCGAATGGAAAAATGTACATGGATTATTCTAATATGTTACTCCCCTTTATAATTAATTTAAGTCTATACAAAGTTCGAATTTTTATACGGAACGAACATTTAAAGAAGGAGGTAATTAAATAAGCTATCTCCAAATAAACAGTTGGAATAGGTTAAAATGTGATATATTCAAAGAATAATTTATAGTATATATGTGGCAGGGTCCATTCCTTGTGTGTTAAGCATGTTACCGTATTGGCATGTGTTTTTAGGAAGAAAAAGTTACTCCCCCCATTTTTTGTGCTAGTATTATACGTATAAATTTGTAGAAAGAATTGAAAATAAATATAATGTAAGGATGTATTGTTTAAACTTCATGTAAACATATGAAATTACAAATGCATACTGATATTAGGACGTTTATACGTTAGATACGAACCCTTTAATATATTCTTGGGGATAATGAATTGTTTTTGATACAGAACTCAAGAAAAGTGGAACGTTGAATATATATAGTAAAATGTAGTCGAAGTATAGGTTACAAATAAGTCCCATAATGACAAATTATTGTAATGTTTTAAGGTAATTTTTCTTCCTTGAACATAATGTTATTTGTTCATTTCATCGTATTTCTTAATTCAATATTATTGGTTCTTTTATTTCACTTAAATTTTTTAGTCTTCATATAACTTCACTGAGCAATTTAAGCAGGTGGGACGAAAAAAAAAACAATTGCGTATGGTGGTTTACACAAATTTTAGCCGCATAGATTAAATATTATAATTTTCATAAATTAAGAAAAAGGAGGGCGAAGTAAAAATTATTAGAGCAGAAAATACTAATAAATTTTTTTTTGTGGGGTCGAGTAATAGATGTAAAGGAAATCTTACTGTTGTAGAAATATTTTCTAAATGTTTTAATATATAAAATGTTGTACAGTATGTGCATAATGAAATTATGAATAAATCATTTTATTCCTCCTAATTAATAAAGTAAAAAGTAGATTCACTTCTAACCCTTTAAAGGTTTATGCGCACATTGTATGGATGTTTTTTTCTTCTAAAGGGGTTATATTTGAGGTTAACATTGAAATAAATACAAATATCCTATTTTATGTCCTATGAACTTAATATAATGGGTTTAAAATAATTACAGGATGCAGAATCATTTTTGACATAATATTTACTCCATTTATTTAATTAACAAAGGGAAACATGACGTATGTGTACGCAATATGTTTCACCTTTCCATGTGTGAAAATATATGTCAGAATATGGGTTGTCATTCTAATTCACACAAGCAGCGTCTAATATATAATGTTACATTTATAAGAAATTGAATTGGTACGTGGCTATTTTTATTTTTCCAGTTACAGAACCGTATGCTACCATCTTTTCCTTATATTGAATTTTAATAGATATTCTATAATTAGCATCAGAATAAAACATTCAGGTGATTTATTCATTTTTTTTCCTTTTTCCTTTTCCTATAACAATTGAAGCTGTTTTATGCGCTTATAGGAATCCGCAATTTTTATTGTTTAAAAAAGGAAAGAATAAATTATTCTTCATTCATGTAGAGGAATAACCATATGTGCATTTACCTACATTCTGAATGTAATTTCCTACTAATTAATTTTCTTTTCTTCGTGGCCAGTTTATAAAATAATATGCTACCCCTATATATTTCTGCAGAACGCACATCATAATGTCCAAAACCTTAAACCTAAAATCCCTAAACCCTAAGCCCTGACCAGCTTAACCCGGAATCCTGAACCGAAAACGCTGAACCTTGGGGCTGACAGGTTCCCTTGTTTTCATAATGCATGCTGTCACATTGGATGGTGTTGTTGTCGTAACAGTAGCATCTACAGTGTGTACTCGTGTTTTTGTACCTGGTTGTACATCAGCGCGTATGTTGCTAGCGCGCAATGGTATTATCATGGAAATAATTATAATGTGGAACAGGAACATATATGTCCGGCGGAAAATTTTTTGAAGCACAAAAAAAAAAAAAAGCTTGTTGCATTTTATAAAGGTACTGCATGCACAATGTATCCAGGGTAATAATTATATAATATATGTTACATATAGAATGTAAAAAATTATGAATTATTAATATAAAAATATACGTATATATATGTATGATACAGGAGCGCACACTTATTTAAAAACGTGATTCCTCTCTATAATATCAATAAAGAACTCATTACATAAACAAATAGCAAAATATATATGCAAGGCATGTGTACTGAGAAAATAAAAACAATATTATAATTTAGGACCAAAGTCCAAGATAAATGTTACAAATATGAATAAGCCCTATCACACAAGTAGTACGGAATGGTATAAACAGGTAAAACTAACAAATATATAGTAGCATACTGTAACTTTTTGAAGTTGCCTACCAGACATAGAATACGGAACATACTTATGGTTTCTTGGGTAATTTGTGTGACCACGGTAGTTTCGGTTTCCCCGGTGTTTCCGGTTTCTTAGGTACTTCTGTTTTTCCAGGTACCTCCGGTTTCTTAGGTACTTCTGTTTTTCCAGGTACCTCCGGTTTCTTAGGTACTTCTGGTTGCTCAGGTAATTTCAGTGACCACGGTAGTTTATGTTTCCCGGGTGATTCCTGCTTCTCAGCGACTTCTGGTTCCTTCGTTGCTTCTGATTTCTCCGACTTGTCAACGGGAGCAGTTTCCTTGGAAGGATCTCCTGTGGGACTAGCGAGGCCTTTATTCTGTTCTGGTGTTTCCTTATCAACGCCACCCTCCAGTGAAGGTTCCTCGGGCTTCTTTTCTGCTTTTTCGGCTTGTTCCTCATTCTGTGAAACTTGGGATGATCGCTGTGCTCCAACTGATGAATCTAATTCCCCGCTAGTGTGATGCGCTATAACCGGAACCGTACCATCTACAACCCTCAGCCCAAAGACATGGGGTACATTCTGGACGTATATAACTTCCAAATAAATTGGTTCTTCAAACTGAGCTATACATTCGACTGCTGTCTTAATAATGACTTCTTTCCACGAAGCTCTGAAGTCATTTAACATCTCTTTGAATTCATCTCTGCTCAATTTTTCCTTTGTAACCATGGTATAAAATACTTCACTAACATGTTCATGCTGTTTTGAGAAGTTACTACTAGCTATTTCTTCACATTTTTCCCATTTGTTGATACATGTGGCGGGAGTTGGAATAGTTTGTTCTTTTTGGAATTCTAAAAATTTTTCTTTTAAATATTTTTTAAGAGCAAAATATGCACTTCTTTCATTTCTGTATGATTGCCAGTATAGGGACAGTAATTCCCACGTATGAGGTTCCTCTTCCATTTCTTCTAATCTTTTATTTATTTCAGAATCTTTCAATCTTTCATCGAAACAAGACATTTCGTAGTGGAATTCAATCGACCTATGGATTCCATATTTTTCTCTATCTTCTGTTACTTTGCCTTCATATTTCTCGATTGTATGTCCTGCCTTTTTCATTTTCCTGTCCTGTTTTTGTTTTTCCGTATCATTATAATTAATCTCCTCATATGATTCCAGGCATTTAAGGATATGATCAGGTACAGCATCAGCTGGGACGTATAGTGTTCTGATCCTTATGTGGCCATATGATTCCTGGGTTGTTTCTTGTCCAGGAACTTTTGTTTCTCCCCTATGAAATTGTGTTATGTCCTTTGCATCTTCCGTATCCTGAACGATTGGTTCCTTAAAGGGATCTTCACTAGGACTGCCGGGAAGTTGATTATTTTGTTCTGGTGTTTGCATGTCAGCGCCACCCTCCAGTGAAGGTTCCTCGGGTATTTGATGTTTCTTGTTTCCTTTTCGGGAAGTTTTGCCCTTCAACTTTCTATGTGACATTTCTAACCTTCTTCTTACATTGTGGAACCTCAATAGCACCATCCACAAAATAACTGCTATGATCTCTGCTGCTCCAAGAGCGAATAGGGCAACCGCTATTGTGGGCGCAAATAAAGCACAGAAAAACAGCATTGTTATATAAACGGCAAAAGAGGCGGAAGCGGTAATGACCCAATTTTTGTTCGTATTTATAATATTTGTCACTGGGCTAAAGAATCCTCTGATGTTTCGTCTTGTTCTTGCTCTTAAGGAGGATATGTAGCTTAAAAAATCCCTCAAATCATCTGAGTGTTTCCAGGCAAGGCGTGCCCTCATTGCCATAATTGGCAGATTAAGTCCTACGCCTATTAGAATTAAAATCACGGATGCGAGCCATAATGATTTACCTAGAAAAGACCCGACGACACACATCAATGTTATATAGGAAGAGGAAGCGAGCCAAACGATGGTGCAGCTTTCGTCACGTGTAAGTGACATATGTCTTAATTTACTAAGGAATCCTCTAGGTTCCTTTTTTTTTTTTTCATCCTCTTCCTCATTCTGTGAGGACACTGACAATTCATCTGCTCCAACTTTGGAATCCAGTTTCCCCTTGGAGTCATACGGCATAACCGGAACTGTAAAGCCTGGATCCCCTTTCCCTATTTTACGGGGATCATTCTCGACGTATATGACTTCCAAAGAAACTGGTTCTTCAATAATGGCCATGCATTCGTCTGCTGTTTTAAGCGTGACTTGTTTCCATGAATCTCTGAAATCATATAAAATCTTCTGGAATTCATGTGTGTTCCAATTTTCCTTTTCAACTATGGTATAAAATACTTCACTAACATGTTCATGTTGTTTTGTCAAGTTATTATTAATTATCTCCTCACATTTATTCCAGGTCGTGCTATATTTTTGGATAGTTTCAATGGGTTGGTTGTTTCTTGGGTTTAAGAGTTTTTGGTTCAGATATTTACTTCTTTCATTTCTGTATGATTGCCAGTATAGGGACAGTAATTCCCATGTATGAGGTTCTTCTTCCATTTGTTCTAATTTTTTATTTATTTCAGAATCGCTCAATCTTTCATCGAAACAAGACATTTCGTAGTGGAATTCAATCGACCTATGGATTCCATATTTTTCTCTATCTTCTGCTACGTTGCCTTCATATTTCTCGATTGTATGTCCTTTCCCCATCCTTTGTTGCTTCCTCCCTTGCCTGGTCTTGTCATCATTATCTAGCGCATCATGTGATTTGGGGACTGTGGAGACATCATCATATATGGCATCAGCTAGGACGTCATGTCTTTTGACCCCTACTTGTTCATCTGATTCCTGCGTTGTTGCTGGTCCGGGAACTTTTGTTGCTCCCGTAACAGATTCTGCATTGTCCTTTGCAGCTGCTTCCTTAGCCTGAACGAGTGGTTCCATATCCAGAACGATTGATTCTGTAGACTCAGTGACTGATTCTTCGGCAGTTAATATGTCTCCATTATCGACTACTTGTTCCCTTGCATCATGTTCTATGTTCCTTTCACCATCATAATGTACTTCTTCTTGTACCTCTTGCTCATCTGGTGTCCATTCTTCTAGAATGGCTTCTTCTTCCTGCTCTTCATAATCACCCTGTCCACCTGCTTCCTCCCACTGTTCGTCAGAATATACTCCTTCGATATCGTCGCAGGGTTCTTCATAAGGTTGGTCGATATCGTCGCAGGGTTCTTCATAAGGTTGGTCGATATCGTCGCAGGGTTCTTCATAAGGTTGGTCGATATCGTCGCAGGGTTC